TCTCTCAAAAGTCAGGTGTCTCTCTCAAAAGTCAGCTGTCTCTCTCAAAGTCAGCTGTTTCTCTTTCATTAAACGTTTAAATAAATGACATATACTTTATACCCCACAGTAGTAAGTTTTAAATATTTATTATTTTTTGCATGTATATAAAACATGAAGGAATTATGAAATTTTTAAATCGTTCAGCTGAGGCATTAAACACACTTGCGAGTGAGGGAACTCTTGTAGTCGTCACACCTGGTAGAGGCAGTATTGTTGTACAGACAAATGATGAGTTTGTTGACGGATGTTTCTAGATTTGAATAATAACGGGAGATACTTTTTGTTCTGGTAATCTAAGATAACGATAAGATTAACAAATTTAATAGAAAACATACGGATGTGCGAACAGTTAACACGGAGATACTGTACAGTGTGTCATGATGTAATCTCACAGTAATGTTAAATGTTCCCGAAGCCCCCAGGGTTAATTGCCATTTTAAGACAGTTCTCTTCCCAGTTGACACATTTAAGTACTAGTGGTCTGCTGTGACACAACCAACCAATCCATTATGACAAATTCATCTTCATTATATCAATATCATGGCAAACTCTGGCATACAATTAATGCTCACGAACATTACCTTCATGAAATTATTGCAAATTGTATTGACAACTTATTTAGGAATTAAGACATAATTTGGGGTTTAGTGTTGATCAGGGACGGGAATAACTCCAATTAGCTGTTGAAATGGGGATGTGATGAGTAACTAGAATGATGTTGTGGCCAGACAGTCGGTGGGAACACTGGCCAAGTGTACAGTAGGTGTAGGTAGCCTCCTCTCAGGTGTATGGAGGGAGTTGTGGGATACACCTCGGCGTCTTTGTTTTGAATGACATAAGGGAATACGGTGCCCTGAGCGGTGACAGGAGTCATCAGAGGTGTAGGTCGTCGGGTGCTACTGTTCCCAAGATCTTATGGAGGAGAAGCTGCGGGTCGAGAATTTCCATGAGGTATATATGTAACAGGTATGGGAAGGTCGCTGGTTAGGTTAGGTTAGGTTAGGTTAGGTTAGGCTAGGTTAGGTTAGGTTAGCTGGTGATGTGTGGGAGAGTTTGTCGGAGTGTTAAACTGGTTCCTACAGAACTTTTTCCCTGACGCAAGTACTGTAAGTAATGAGTTTGTCCTTGAGGTAGTGGCTAGGGCAGGCAGGTTAGGAGCGGTGGGCAGCGAGTGTGTAGTGGGGTTTCTTGCAGCTGAGTAACGCAGGTTTGTGTTTGTTGGTGTAGTAGGTGAGATCATTGTGATGGGTGGGAGGCGTCTGATGCTCTGGGAGAAGTGGTGGTTGTGGCGGCGTTATCCATTTTGGGGCGGTAGATGTATCTGTAGCCTTGGCTGCAGAAGGAGCAGGAGAGGTAGAATGTGATCGAGCCTTAGTAGGTGATCCAGTGTATCTAAAGTGTTCACTGTCAGGCTCAAGGCAGAGGACCCGAGGTCTTGACTCTGCTGCAGTGAGAGGCTGTGGCCCATGTGTTGACCTCTTGTGTGAACGAGGAGGTAATCTGAGTGGAGGAGGCCTCAAGGGCAGAAGTGACAGCGGTGTTGATGAAGGAGACCATTTCCGTCCTGGCGTTTGATACCTCAATACGAATTGCTGCCACTTCCGCCCGAAGGTCAGCGATGGCTCCTTTGGTTTGAGTTTTGAAAGCGATGAGTTAAAATCCTGCGTGGAACAGTATGACTGCCGGGTAGTAAGGAGTGCACCATGATCTTGTTCAGGGGACGTGGTTTGTGGGTCATTCACCCTACGGGTCTGGGATATAAGAGAGGAAGGCTTCCCCCTTCCTCTCCCTGGGGGACCATTTAGCCAGACAGTCCAGAAGCCCCTGACCTCCACACCGGGTGAATTTGAAATCCGGAGAGGTGAGATGAGGGGAGTATATGTTGCCAAAGGTAGAAGTGAGTTGTTGGTTGTCACTCATGCCACCACTAGTGGAGTGAAAGGAACAGCTTGAGTCTTTCGAGTATGTGAAGGAGTATGGGACAGTGGTAACTGTGGCGAAAATGCAGCAAGGACGTACTGTAGGTGGGTAGTGTGAGTCTCCACAACAATAACAGTGCGGTGTCGACTGATAGTGATAGTCTACAGGCCCAGTTCGTGCACTTAACGATAGTAGTTCTTTTTGTGCTAATGGTACTGTATGGTGCGGAAAGCCTATACTATATTGGTACTCGGGTGGGTAGTAGGGTCACCACTTTCTACACAGTAATGGCTCAAGGGATAGGATAGCCCTGAGAGTTGCCGGCGGAGGCGGAAAGTCCCTGAAAGGTTGTGGAGGGTGTCAAGGGGGACGTCCACCGAATAGTTGGTGACGAGGTATTCTGGGAGGTTTTCTTTTCAAAGGAGATGGTCATTCCCCGTAAAAAACAAAACAAAAATGTTTGGTGAGCGCCACCCTCAAGAGTGAGTTCTTCAGTAAAGTCTGGGTAATCTCTGGTGATGAAGATATTCGGGCAACCTGGGTTTTTAGTGGACAATGACTGTGAGGTGCGACGCACGATGTTTCGAGATGCCTCTTGTTCAGGAAGATGCATTTGCAGTGAAGGTGAGGCATATTAAGTCTTCCTAAGCGATCAGTGGCGCAGAGTGAAGTAGGAGCCCGCAGCTTGATCGTGGACACAGATGATGTACGGTGAGCAGCTGAAGTATCAGGTTTCCGTAGGTCAAGTGCACTTGCGCCATGGCGCCATTATGGTAGATGTTTCCTTGGTAGTGGACTTCCGTGCAGCGAGGACATTACGTGGTAGTTTTAGTTCAGTGACAAGGAGTTTCCCTTGTGTCAGTTCCAGTAGTCTTTCACCACTCTGGTGTGAAGAGAGTCAGCTTTTGGGCGTTTGCCTTCTGGATGAGCAAAAATTTGCCCATTCGAGGCAGAGATGAGGGGATTCTTGCTAGCTGGAGGTGCAAGCAGAATTTTTTGGACCGTGATCCCTCCGACAGGGCGTGACGTAAGTTCAGGGATGGAGACCTGCCCGAGGCGATCTGAGTGGTCCTCGGCAGATCTTGATTGCCGAGAGACAGGCTTGAGAGAGGATTCTGGTGAGGTTAGGCCATGTGTCCAGGCGGCTGGGAGCCAGTAGACATCTGTCGGTCCCATATGCTGCTATCCATACCTACAAAAGAAACACAGACAGCTCTAACATACCAATGCACTCTCAGAGAGGCAGTCAGCGCTGGTTGGCAAGTTAAAGTAAATGGGTGAGGACACACCTGGTCAGGAATGTCAACAAAGCCAGGGCTGTCACATTAACTGGTGAGGAGGAACAGTTTTGACCTTAGATCACCCTAGCCATCAGGGCCACATGTCTCCATTGTTTACTTAATACCCAACCAATCAGGGGAAGTTTGGATGTCATGTGAAACTTATGAGCCAAATATCGAAGACTTGTCAATATGCGCAAGCTCCGAAATTTGAAAGGGTTATTTGCAAGATGGTGTCTGTCTGGGAAGGTAAGTTTTTTTACACACCAGGGGATCCAAGGGGGCGGGGAGGTTAGGTCAGGTCCTTCTGGTTTTTCTGGTTAACAGCTTTAATTTTTTTTCGTTTTTTTTACCCAAAATTTTCCTCTACTTCATAGCCCTGCCCACTTTGTGTAACCAACAATGTTGGTAATTGAGGGAGGGGTGAGGAGGGGGTCATATCTCCATAACTACTCATTTCCGACGGAAATGAAGGTCAAATTCGTATGAAACACGGTGAAATACACCTTTATCCCTTTCACCGCGTGTCACGCACTTGCTACTTTTATTCACCTTAGAGTAACCTCCCGCTGTGAAAGGGTTAAAACTATCTCGATTAAAACCTATTTCCCTTAGTAGTTTCTGTGCATGGCAAATTTTAAATATTTACCAAATATACGAATATATTATCATGGCTAGACGACAATACTTAAAGATAATATAATAATGTAGCTGCAGTGTACTCCTATATGAGATATAACTTGAGACACCTCATCCCCGAGTCTCTCATTCAATATAAAGAGTCATTCAATCATCAAACTAGCCAACTAGCCTAAAAGAGAGCTCAGGATCTCAACTGGCTCAGCCATGTTAATATTGTTATTATTATCCACTCTGTATCTGTGTTTTTCTGGCTAAATAAACTGTTTCAATTCAATTTCAATTCAACTACCCTCCTCGGGCACTTTACAGCCAGCGTCAACACCACATCTCACCGCCACTTGTTTATAGGTTCACGATTGTCAGTTGTCATTCGTCGCCAGTAGGTAGTCGGGTGTGGCGGGTGGTGGTGTGGTCCAAGACTGCAGGTGATGAGCCTGTTGAAGTTGGCGATTATTTACAGACAGTGATTGGAAGATGATAATGTCTTTGTCCTCTAGATTATTTTGTTCATCTAAATTAAGGTTTTTGTTGTTGTTGTTTGTAGTTATTGTTTATCTTCAAGTTTGAATTATTATTAACTCGTGTGGCTACTACCTGGTGGGTCTTCCTTCTCCACAATTATCAGTCCTTTGTTCCAGTCCCTCTTTACTCTCTTCTCTCTTACTCCATAGTTCTGATTTGTTAATACGTGCAGTGACTATCGACAAGACGAGTTATTTAAATTTAATATCGTGGGTAAAAGTAATGAACGTATATAATTCATGAATATATATTGACCATTACTTTAGGATAGGGTGAGGATGGGTATAAGGTTGTAGCTGGGATAGGACTTGTGAAAACTAGCCTTACCTGCCCGACTCAAGATGCCATTAGTAACTACCTGGTGTTGAGTTAACAGTTAGTAAATATGGAGTAGTTAACGATGACATTTGACGTTTCTTTTTCTGAGGCATAGTTTATTCTCTCTCTCTCTCTCTCTCTCTCTCTCTCTCTCTCTCTCTCTCTCTCTCTCATTACGTTTCGATAAATAGATGATGACTTTATTACTCATGGTCGTATTATCCTGTGCTTTGTTAAAACTGTGTCAGCTGATGTTTGTTATTGTTAATGTTTCAGACCACGCGTTCGGTCACTGCCTTTCTGACTATGGCCACTACAAGGAAGAGGATTTACACCGGTGAGTATCGTTAACTCTTATGTTTGGTCTATGTCTTCCTACTACATCACTCACTCTCCCTTCCTTCTTCACCACTCACTACCCTCCCCTTCTCACCACCCACATTCTCCCTCCTCCCTTACCACACACTCCTCCTCCTCCCTCACCACCCACTTTCCTTCCTCTCACCACACTCTCCCTCCTCCCTCACCACACTCTCCCTCCTCCCTCACCACACTCTTCCTCCTCCCTCACCACCTCTCCTCCTCCTCCCTCACCACCCACTTTCCTTCCTCTCACCACGCACTCTCTCTACTCTCACCACACACTTTCCTCCCTCACCATACTCTCCCTCCTCCCTCACCACACATCATTGCTGCCTGCCTCGTTATATCACTGTTCTATACATTTAACATGAGATAAATAAGAAGTTGTTGTTGTTCTCACTGTTTATACGGTCCACATAAAATACAACTCATAACACATTGTTAATTAGACCTTATTGCTGGTGTTGTTGTTGGTTTAAGTGAGACACACACACACACACACACACACACACACACACACACACACACGCAATATGTACCTAGCTTTCAGAAATAAACCATAGACTATTATTATTATTATTATTATTATTGTTAAAACACCTGTCTACACCTGTCATTAATGTATCTATTAACTAACATGCTGAATTATGTGTCAGTAAATGTGTGTGGGTCGGTGATACGAGGTGTGGCCAAAAGGTCCCCGACAGGTTTATCTTCCCCAAAACCAAAGGTCATATACAGTAAATTGTCCGCCAACACACTCTCCCTCCTACCTCACCAACACACTCTCCCTCCTCCCTCACCAACACACTCTCCCTCCTTCCTCTACAACACGCTCTCCCTCCTCCTCACTAACTTACACTCTCCCTCCTCCCTCTGCTTACCTCTCCCTCCTCCTCACCAACACACTCTCCCTCCTTCCTCACAACCTCTCCCTCCTTCACTCACAACACACTCTCCCTCCTCCTCACCGCCACTGATCCTCCTCCCTCACCGCCCAATGATCCTCCTCCCTCACCGCCCAATGATCCTCCTCCCTCACCGCCCACTGGTCCTCCTCCTCACCACCCGCCCACTGATCCTCTTCCTCACCGCCCAGCTGATCCTCTCCCTCCACCGCCCTCTGGTCCTCCTCCCTCCTGCCCACTGATCCTCTTCCCTCACCGCCCGCTGATCCTCTTCCCGCACAGCCCAATGATTCTCCTCCTCACCGCCCAATGATCCTCCTCCCTCACCGCCCAATGATCCTCTCCCTCGCCCACTGGTCCTCCTCCTCACCGCCCACTGATCCTCTTCCTCACCGCCCACTGATCTTTCCTCCTCACCGCCCACTGATCCTCCTCCCTTACCGCCCAGCCAGTCCTCCTCCCTCACCGCCCGCACTGATCTTCCTCCTCACCGCCCAATGATCCTCCTCCCTCACCGCCCACTGATCTTCCTCCTCACCGCCCAATGATCCTCACTCCTCCCTCACCGCCCACTGATCCTCCTCCCCTCACCCGCCGCCCACTGATCTTCCTCCCTCACCGCCCACTGATCCTCCTCCCTTACCACCCAATGATCCTCCTCCCTCACCGCCCACTGATCTTCCTCCCTCACCGCCCACTGATGATCCTCCTCCCTCACCGCCCACTGATCCTCCTCCCTCACCGCCCAATGATCCTTCTTCCTCATCACCAAACCTGATTGATCCTGGTCACATCTAACCTAACTCCCTTCAGGTAAAATTAAAGAACTTGGTCACCAGGTGAAATAAATTAGGTTATTTAATCTTTCAGGTAAACAGAAAAAAAAACTAATTCTGAGTCTGTGTTAAATTACGTGAAAAACTAAGTGTGTGTGTGAGGAACCAATGCAATATTATAAAAGGTACTCCAAAAAAATTATCTCTACTTTGGGGGTGGGGGGCGGGCGATGAATTCCAGAATGAACACTGCGACTCCTGTTGTCTAGGTAGGGCTGTCAGAATCCTTCGTCTGTTGTCATATATTTTCAACACAATTTTGAAAAGATAAGTGTTTTTTTTTTTTAGTGACTGTACATGATTGAGTGATCTGGTGGTCCAGTGTCTCATCTCTTAGACCAAATACTTACAGTCATTCCCTGAACCCCTTTTTTATTGTATTATTATTTGTCAGACATTGTATGCTGGATTCTCGTTCCCAGCCTCCTCCTTCACCCCACGTCTCTTATCCCACCCCCCACACACACCCACCCCACCCCACACACACCCACACCACACACACCCACACCACCCACACACCCACACCACCCACACACACACCCACACACACCCACACCACCCCCACACACACCCACACACACACCCCCACACACACCACACCACCCCCACACACCCCACACACCCACCCACACACCCCCACACACACCCACACACCCCACCCCACCACACCCACACACACCCCACCACCCCCACACCCCACACACCCACACCACCACCCCACACACACCCCACACACCCACACACACTCCCCACACACCACACACACCCACACACCCACACACCACACACCCCCACACACACACACACCCCCACACACCACCCCCACACACACCCCCCCACACACCACCCCCACACTCACACCACACATACACAACCAGATTGATACTGCACATCATGACCCGCCCTGAGCCTGCTCACAAAGGAGATAGACGATTACCTGAGCCTGGATGGAGGAAGTGTGTGTGTGTGTGTGTGTGTGTGTGTGTGTGTGTGTGTGTGTGTGTGTGTGTGTGTGTGTGTGTGTGTGTGACGTCAGCCCTCCTATAACCAAACCTAACCTAACTTAAACTAGACTAACAGACACAGATAGGCAGAAATCGAGCTAACAGACAGACAGACAGAGGGGTTAACAAAGACAGAGAAGGGGCTAAACACACACACACACACAGGCAACGGGCTAACAGACACACAGGCAGAGAGGGGCTAAACAGACACACAGACAGTGGGGGCTAAACAGACACAGACAGTGAGGGAGCTAAACAGACACACAGACAGTGGGCTAAACAGACACAGACAGTGAAGGCTAAACAGACACACAGACAGTGAGGGGCTAAACAGACAGACAGTGGGGGCTAAACAGACACAGACAGTGAGGGAGCTAAACAGACACAGACAGTGAGGGAGCTAAACAGACACACAGACAGTGAGGGGCTAAACAGACACACAGACAGTGAGGGGCTAAACAGACACAGACAGTGAGGGGCTAAACAGACACAGACAGTGAGGGAGCTAAACAGACACACAGACAGTGAGGGGGCTAAACAGACACACAGACAGTGAAGGGGCTAAGCAGACACACAGGCAGAGAGGGGCTAAACAGACACACAGACAGTGAGGGGGCTAAACAGACACAGACAGTGAGGAGGCTAAACAGACACAGACAGTGAGGGGGCTGAGACACACAGACAGTGAGGGCTAAACAGACAGACAAGGGGGGCTAAACAGACACAGACAGTGAGGGGACAGACCTAAACAGACACACAGACAGTGAAGGGGCTAAACAGACACACAGACAGTGAGGGGCTAAACAGACACACAGACAACGGGGCTAACAGAGACGCAGATCGACAACGGGGCTAATAGACACAAGACAGAGGGGACCAACAGACATACAGATAACATAGCTAACAGACACACATACAGACAACGGCTACACACACACACACACACACACTACACACACACACACACACACACACACACACACACACACACACACAGAAATGCAGAGATGACAGACATAAAGAGAAAGGCGCGGAGGTGCACAGACAGGCGCAGAGATAACAGAGAGAGAGAGAGGCAGGCGCGGGGCGTGGGTGAGCTATATATAGTGAGCGTGAGTCAATACTTGGTGGTTATAACCGTGTGTGTGTGTGTGTGTGTGTGTGTGTGTGTGTGTGTGTGTGTGTGTGTGTGTGTGTGTGTGTGTGTGTGTGTGTGTGAGACGTCAGCCACCCTCCATGCATGCACTTCTTATCGTTCTCTTCCTTCACCTGTTCTTGTTGTTGTTGTCTATCCTTCTGTTGCTGCTGTTACCTATCCTTCTGTTGATGTTAATGCTCCTTTTGGTCTCTATCCTTCTGTTGACGTTAACGCTTCTGTTACTCATCCCTTCCTTCCTCCACCACCTGTAGCTGACTTCTTTATAGTGGTTCTCATTGCTTCCTGTGCATTGATCTCTCTCTCTCTCTCTCTCTCTCTCTCTCTCTCTCTCTCTCTCTGATATTAGTCGCTTTAGAAGAACGAGCATGTATTATAGTAAGAGCGCCGGCATTGATTAGATCTCTTCCACCTTCCCTCATTCACCTTCCCTCTCCTCCTTTCTCCTCTCCCTTCTCCTCCTTCTCCTCCACCTTGCCTTACCTCATTTCTCCTTTTTCTGCACTTCCATTCACCTCCACCCACCTTCTTCCTTCTCCTCCTCCTGTTCCTCCACTCATTTCTCCCCCTCCTTCTTTATTCCTCCGTCTTCTTCTCGTTTATAAAAGTCTACCCCTCCCCTCCCCCCGTATAAGTCCCTCAATCATAAGTAACATGTGATATAAAAACAATTTTCCCGAGGACTTCATTTTTATTTGAGTTACCGGTACATTAAACATAGAAATATTCGTCTTTTGTTATGGCCGTGTAAACTGTACAGAAAACGAGTATTAAGGGTGAGGAGAGGAAAAGGAAGGTCGGACTCAATCAATAGTTTTCGCCTGTTTTTTTGTTTTTTAATTCTAGTTACTTTATAATTGTGCCATTTTATCCGGGGTTTTTTTCAGTGAGATAAAACATAAAATTGGGTGTTAAGAGATCGAAAGGGTCACTTAATCATTTGGGGTTTTCATTACAATCTAGTTATTGTCGTCACTTATATGACCTTTATTATAAAAAAAAAGAATAGAATTTTAGTTTCGGTCTTTCCTGTGTTTAGATATCCAAACTATGTGATTTCCGACAGATAGGAAGGTCCAAATCACATCAAAAACCATCGGAAAAAATCATAGTTTGGATATCTAACCTAACCTATCCTAACCTAACCTAATTCCTATGATTTCCCGGATGACCGAAACTAAAATAATATCGAAAAAAGTTAATGAAAGTCTACTGAGATGGATGATAAAAAGAGAAAGTAGTTTGATAACATTTACCCAGTATATTTTAGTTACTACGACAAAGTATTAGGAAAATCTGTTTTCTGTAATAATAAAGAAAATGTGCTCGTATCAGCTGCTCGTTGCGGGGTAACTCAATCAATATTGCTTGGCGGCTTGAGGTTGAATTATTTTTTATAGTCCACCACATAACACGTATACTGGAGGAAAATAAACGACAGTATTAGACTTAAGAACTGTTGGAGGAGAGTAAACAACAGTATTAGACTTAAGAACTGTTGGAGGAGAGTAAACAACAGTATTAGACTTAAGAACTGTTGGAGGAGAGTAAACAACAGTATTACTCTTAAAATATGTTTGTCATTGTCTTTGTGTTTGCTGAATTCGACGACTTTTTTTATTAATGGGTTATTCATAGTAGTCAATAAAGTATCGACCATTTAGCTTCTCAATCAAAGGACAGGCTTAGTTTAGCGGATACTTAAATATATAATGGCCTATTGCATCAAGACTCTACGTTTTGGACTCTCTTTAACTCTTATCTGGACTACAGTATACTGTTGGTCAAGGTGATGCAATAATGTTTCTGAGGATTTTGTCGCTCTATGCAAGTTGCCTTACTGTTGCTTCTGTTGATACTGCCACCACATGCATTACCATACATGTAATTCATGCCTGAACCATAATTTGTACACATGTTTCTGCCTTTGTTTCTCAAATTGGAAAATCTACATAATACAGCAGCCAGTACAGTATCTTAACGTTTTGAGTTTTTTCCAAGCAGCACGGTACAACTGAGTTCTATTTCTCACACATTTTAATTGTTGTTGGACTTGGGTATCACTAAAACTTGTTGCGCGCTTAAAGACCTTCGTTGTCGAAGCGCAGTAATAACATTATAACACGAACAACAACACGATGTTCAAGTTGTCAGTTGTTCCCCTTATATTGTTGATGTTTCATTCCTTAACTGACTCATGTTTTCTCGAGCCTCTCTGTTGGCTCCTCCCAGATAACTTCTGGTTTTACACCGAACTGCAGGAGTTTCTTCCCCTAACTGATAACTGTTTTTGCGTCGCCAGGTATGACTTGGGGTCTGAGGAGCTGCGGCAGCTGGAGCAGGAGATGCAGCGGCTCTTCCTCCTTGGTTACCGCTGGTCTCACGTCTACACCCAGTGTGTCCTCCAGACGCTGCTTCACTCCATCCGTCTCAAGTAAGTGTAGTGTACGCTCACTGTGTCTTAGGTATACACCCAATGTCCCCCTACCACCTGTTATGTACTCCATCCTTTGTTACACTTGGTCCAGCACAAGTAATGTGCCTCAGATTATACAATGTAATTATATTTGAAAAGGAATAGTTTTCTTCTCTCTACCCTTTATGTAAAATTAGATAAATAAAAATGAAACAAATATTACTGCTACATTGAGTCTTTTTACTAATTTACTCAGTTATTCAACGTTATCATTGTTTTTATCTCGAAAATAGCAAGGAAAATATATTTAAATAGAAATAGCAAAGTAATTAATATTAAGTTTAAAACTATGCCTCGTTATAAACAGGTGGATATAATATATTCATACCTGGGATTACGCTGCGATGCTGAAATGATTACGTAACTACCATCACTGTTATAGGAAGAATTATATTTATAATAATGATGGTAATAGCAACAATTTTAAGAAATACTGTTGAATGTCGATTTTTGCTAAAGTGTCCCCTAACTCCCCTTTGCTACAACCATGATTGTTGGTTTTCTATGGTGAGTATAAGAGAAAATGGGCACATAAATCGCTGGCTATTGATTTTAGAACATAAACTTTAATATTTTATGATGTACCAGAGCCGCTTCTGCGTTTGTTTGTTTGTTTATGTATCTATTATTTACTTAAACTTAGATTTACATAAACATCATAAACGTTTTATTTGGTAAAGACACAATTTAATTCTGTGACACTCTTTCTCATTATTTTTGACAAGGTATTCAGTACTAAATCCTGTGGTGGAATAACGCTAAAACAAGTGTGAGTACCACTACAAACAAGACCACTTTAACCAACCTAACCTTGCTTAACCAGAACTTAGTGTTGGATCGTGTGGTCTGCTTCATATATGCTTATTAAACTCTTTTTCGCGTGGTTCCATCGTAAGATTTTAATTCTGTATATAGTGCTGTAGAAATGATCACCACGGCCAGTCCTGTAGGAACGGAAGGCTACAGCGTGATTAGTGTGGGAAGTGTGACTGATGGACCCTAGTATTTATTGTTCTATTGGTAATCGCGGCTCCCTAGCATGGCCTGAGGTCTTGTGTTGTAGTCCGTCAGTTTAACTAGAAATCATACCATGGAAATATTGTTTCCCTTTAATCTTTATTTACTGAATACAATGGTAATTTTCCCGAAACTGTGTGTAAGGAAACAAAACTTAGCTGGAATAATCTGGTAACGTAATTATCTTGAAGAAAATAGGAAAACGATTATAAAATACCAATTCGGAGTTTACGACTCAGAACTTATTCATCATGTTCGTGTTCTCTTCAAGGTAATTATGTTACCAGATAATTCCAGCCAAGTTTTGTTTCCTCAGAGAACAACATAGAATAGTTATCACCGTCACTTAAAATACACAGACTATAGATACGATAGATTAAAGACTAAAGAACTATAGTACCTCTCCTGCATCCGTCTGCCAGCCAATCAGCTGCCTTGCTACAAACACTTTTTTATTTTTTTTATTATTTTGTATTTATTTATTTATTTATTTTTGAGGGGGAGTACCTCAAGTTGATTACTTCTGATGTTTTTGTGGGTTTTTTCTTTTCTTTTTTTGAGGGGATGGATCTGGGATGGACAATTTATATCGTTTTTTTTTTCGTTTTTTTTTTGTCAATTCTTATTCCTCTCTTTTTCATTTTTATTTTTTATTTGTTTCTTTTTTTCAATATAATTTTTATCATTGTTTTGTAATTATTATAGGTATTTTGTCCCTTTGTTATTATTATTGTTTTTTTTTTATTTACCGTGAATGCTGTGGTAATTTCGTTATCATCATCATCATTATTATTGTTGTTGTTGACATGATCTGCTACCAGAGGACAGGTCAGTATGGACCGATGCTAACCCTGGACTCCTCCCCGCAGATCCGAGTTTGACATAAGCAGCTGCAATGGCGGCCTGGACCAGGACTTGGAAGGGGCGTTGAGGGCCATAGAAGGAGAGGAACTGGTGAGTAGTGGAAGTGGAGGAGATAGTGACAAGGGAGGAAATGGTGTGTAGTGAGAGATGGAGGAGGAGGAGGAGGAGGAGAAGAGAGATAGTGACAAAGGAGGAACATGTGGGATATATTTAAGGACATAGGTGAGAAACAAAAAAGTGTTGGAGGTATGTGTGGTGGCGTTGGAGGGGTGGAGGTGGTCGAGTGTGTGGTGTTGGAGGGGTGGAGTGTGGTCAGGTGTGTGGTGTTGGAGGTGGAGGTGGTCGAGTGTGTGGTGTTGTAGGGATGGAGGTAGTCGTGTGTGGTGGTGTTGGAGAGATGGAGGTGGTTGGTGGTGTTGGAGAGATGGAGGTGGTCGAGTGTGGTGGTGTTGGAGAGATGGAGGTGGTCGAGTGTGGTGGTGTTGGAGAGATGGAGGTGGTCGAGTGTGGTGGTGTTGGAGAGATGGAGGTGGTCGTGTGTAGTGGTGTTGGAGGGGTGGAGGTGGTCGAGTGTGTGGTGTTGGAGAGATGGAGGTGGTCGACTGTGTGGTGTTGGAGAGATGGAGGTGGTCGGTGTGTGTGGTGGTGGGCAGGAGGCGTGTCTTGTGGTGGTTGCCTTGGTGTCTCCCGGGATACAGCTCAACAGGACGCCAAACTTATTGTAACACAAGACTACTTGGTGTGTGTGTGTGTGTGTGTGTGAAGGAGAGAGAGGGAGAGAGAGAGAGGTAAGAAGGGATTGTATTCATATTCATTCTAAATATTTTGTGAACCTCTGTAACACGTGTTCTAACCGTGTTTACGACAGTCATGAACATGATTATGATATGTGTATAACTGAATTAACTGGGGTATAACCTAACCTAACCTAATCTAATCTAATCTAATCTAATCTAATCTAATCTAATCTAATCTAACCTAACCTAACCTAACCTAACCTAACCTAACCTAACCTAACCTAATCTAATCTAACCTAACCTAACCTAAACTAAAAAAAAGTTGGTAATACTTGTGTTTTGCGTTACAGGAGCAGGTTGACCCGCGCAACCTGGCCATCGTCCGCTTCACGCCGTCAGTCACCGACCCCCACTCAGACTATGCTGATGAGGTCTACTTCCCACCCATCAAGGACCAGCTGCTTGAGGACCACCCAGGAAACCAACCAGACCAGGATCATGAACACCAGGTGGGCGCGGTGGAGGGATATGTACGAGTATAGTGCAATAACTCAAACCAATTGTATACTAACTGTACTGTAGGTGTAACTTCCTGTGTTTTATTATTTTTGAAGTCAGTAGAATTTTTTACCTCACTTTACGCATCGATTTATTAGGGATGGGGGCCCCGATTAAACAGTATCGGTATAGGCAAGTGGATAGTATCGGTATTTTGTCAAGTAATCATTATCGGTAATCTAAGTGTAGTCCGATATGATCCCTTTCGTCTGTATTTTTGGACAAGAATAATAAAAAAAAAAAATCATTTCACCCGTATTTCATTTAAATAATGAACATGTACTTTGATTTACACTCAGGACTAATGAAATACAATCAATTACTGAAACAGATCTTTAGTCATTGAAATTATAATGAGCGAAAGGTAACTGACCTCCTCCACGCTTAGGAAGTCACTCTACTCCCTTGTGGCCTCTGAGGTGTTCCCCCGTACTACATAATCCCACACTGACAACAGATGAAGGCAGAACACAGAGTTACTTCTTTGCTAAGTCGGCCGTGATGAACTGATGGTACCTTCTTGTTTACACGGGAGTCCACACCAATTGGACCAAATCTCAGGGCAGAGTATAAGGAAAGAAACGGTTTTGAATCTGGGTATCGGTATAGAGGTAATCGGTATGGAGGTATCGATATTGAGGTATCGGTATGAGGTAATAGGTATAAAGTATCGGTATGAGGTAATCAATATGGAGATATCGGTATTGAGATAATCGGTGTAAGGTATCGGTATGGGTGCTTCGCTATATCATGTAGGATTCTTAAGAGTTCCTTCTGCATTATGTGTAGGACTCCACCATTAATCCCTGACCCCCACCTCTTGCAGGATTCTGTAACGAGTGGACAAGGGGGAGAAGGCGAAAGGAAGGGTGGCAGGACGGGTGGCAGGATGGGTAGCGGAGGGGACAAGACTCTGAGCCGGCCCCCTCAGCTCGCTCCGCTCCCCGCCAACCCCCCAGGACCTCCCCCCAGCGATGGCAATGCCCCTCCTTCAGCACCTGACAACCTCCATCCAATCCCCGACAACTCCAGAGCTCTTAACTACATCAACTACTTTGGTGGGTGTTGGTGTGTGGAGTGAGTGTGTGCGTGTGTGGAGTGAGTTTGTCCTTGTGTGGAATGAATGTGTAAGTGACCGTAGTGAGTGTGTGGAGTGAGTATGTGTGAGTGTGGAATGAGTCTGTGAGTGTGTGGAGTGTGTGAGTGACCGTAGTGAGTGTGTGGAGTGAGTTTGTCCGTGTGTGGAATGAATGTGTGAGTGACCGTAGTGAGTGTGTGGAGTGAGTATGTGAGTGTGTGGAGTGAGCATGAGAGCGTGTGGAGTGAGTGTAGTAAGTGTGTGTGTAAGTGTGTGGAGTGAGCATGTAAGCATGTGTGTGTGTGTGTGTGTGTGTGTGTGTGTGTGTGTGTGTGTGTGTGTGTGTGTGTGTGTGTGTGTTTCAAAGGGGGATAAGTTATGTACTGTATGGATTTGAGGTATCGTATCCACACACGCTTGTACCAATATGTGAACCTTAGGTGTACCCAGAACCCCCTCGCCCACAGTACACTATATCCAGTACAGCTTCAACCACAACAGGCACACAGTAGACACATCCCTCCAGCAGAACAAGGAAGATATTATATTTCCTTTCATATAAAAACTGTGTAACTAAGTGCACTCCATTAGCTCTGACTCTGACTGACTAGATAAAAAAAAAATGCTGAAACCACATTGACACGGTTGTGACTTTTGAGGCTGTAATTGCTGAGAGATTGTTTAGAGAAAAGTTTGTGAAAGTGAAGATAATATCCAATTCCACTGTACACTTATTTCTATGGACACTATACCCTTCCACTCTACAATAAACAGTTTTTAAAGTTTAGGTGAGGTTGATTGTAGAGTTGTTGTGGTAAAGAGAGGTGAGGTTGGTGTGGTTCCCAGGTGAGTGACGGCAGCCAGGTGAAGGTTGGCGTCATCATAGGTAACCTAGGTACCTGTATAGAAGAGTGTCTCCAGGGCAGCCTCACGCCCACCACCTGGCTTCACCTCCAACACCACCATCACTTGTCCTCATCTTTACCACCATCACCTGCCCCCACCTCTACCACCACTACCACCATAACCACCATCACCTGCCCTCACCTCTACCACCACCACCATCACCTGTCCTCACCTCTACCACCACCACCGTCACCTCCCCTCATTTTTACCACCTTCACCACCATCACTTACCCTCACTTTCACCATCACCTGCCCTCACTTCCATCATCACCTGCCTTCACGTCCACCACCATTACCTGTTGTTGCAAACATAAGAACGTAAGAATGGAGGAAACTGCAGTGGGCCTATTGGCCCATACTGGGCAGTCCCATTTACACCCAACCCCTATTGCTCATATATCCATCCAACCTATGTTTGAAGCTATCCAGCGTATTCCAGTTAATGATGATATTTGGTAACTTGTTCCACTCATCCACTTCTCTATTTCCAAACCAGTGTTTACCTATTTCGCGCCTAAATCTGAATTTGTCTAATTTAAAACCATTGTTACGAGTTCACTCCTGGTTGGATAGTTTGAGTACGTTTCACCTGTTGTTGCAAACGTTTCCGTTATTGTGGCTAAATCTTTCTTAAAGTTGGAAGATGTGAAGATGATCAGTGGCTGGACTTATATGAGGGAACATTCTACTGGCTATCATCACCCAAGAAAGGGGGAGGAAGAGGAGGAGAAGGAGAATGAGGAGATGTGGAGAGGAAGAGGAGTAATAGTAGTAGTAGTAGTAGTAGAAGGAAGAGGAAGATGACGAGGAGGAAGAGGAAGAAGAGGAGAAGGGAGAAAGAGAGAATGAGAACATGTTGAGAGGAGAAGGAGGAGTATCAGTAGTGGAAGGATTAGGAGGAAGAGGAAAATGAGGAGGAGGGAGAAGAGGAGGAGGAGTAATAGGTGGAGAAGGATTAGGAGGAGTCATTACACAGGAAGAAAACTAAAACGTGATGTAAGAAAGAAAAAATATATATTGGAGACTACCTCTGAGGATAATTTTTATTCACATTGTTCAAGTATTTTTTTTTTTTCACAATAGGCAACATCAACGGGTATGATGATGATGATGGTGACGAGGACGAGGAAGATGACGAGGACGTGTATCAGTCGCCCTACCACTACCAGACGCCCGTCAACCCCGTCTTCCGCAAGAGAGGGATGCCATCCCGGGGTAACTCCGAGTCAAGACAATTGAGCTTCAACGATTGGAAACAGGTGTCTGATTTCCTGGAAGATATGAGGTAAGGGGACTGATCTACAGGTGTTAGTAGGTGGGGCTGATCTACAGGTGTTTGTAAATGGGGCTGATCTACAGGTGTCAGTAAAGTGGGGGTTGATCTACAGGTTTCAGTGAGGGGATGATCTACAGGTGTTAGTAGGTGGTGCTGATCTACAGGTATTAGTAAATGGGGCTGATCTACAGTTGTCAGTAAGGGGCTGATCTACAGGTGTCAGTAGGGGGCTGATCTACAGGTGTCAGTAGGGGATGATCTACAGGTGTTAGTAGGTGGGGATGATCTACAGGTGTTAGTAAATGGGGCTGATCTACAGGTGTTTGTAAATGGGGCTGATCTACAGGTGTCAGTAAGGGGGGGCTGATCTACAGGTGTCCAGTAAGGGAGTTGATCTACAGGGAGTTGATCTAGGATGTCAGCAGAGGTGATCTACAGGTGTCAGCAAGAGGAGAGATACTAGGGGGAGTTGATCTACAGGTGTCAGCAAGAGAGTGAAAGAATCTACAGGTGTCAGCAAGAGAGTGAAGAGATCTACAGGTGTCAGCAAGAGGAGAATCTAAAGGTGTCAGCAAGAGGTGAAGAGATCTACAGGTGTCAGCAAGAGGAAGAGATCTCAGGTGTCAGCAAGAGAGGAGATCTACAGGTGTCAGCAAGAGGTGAAGATCTACAGGTGTCAGCAAGATGGGAGGAGATCTACAGGCGTCAGCATGAGGGAAGGATATCTACAGGTATTAGCAAGAGGGGAGAAAATCTACAGGTGTCAGCAAGAGGATGAAGAGATCTACAGGTGTCAGCAAGAGGGGGGGATATACAGGTGTCAGCAAGAAGGTGAAGAGATCTACAGGTGTCAGCAAGAGGGTGAAGAGATCTACAGGTGTCAGCAAGAGGTGAAAAAGATCTACAGGTGTCAAAGATGGTAAAAGAGATCTACAGGTGTCAGCAAGAGGGTGAAAAGATCTACAGGTGTCAGCAAGAGGAGAAGAGATCTACAAGTGTCAGCAAGAGGGTGAAGAGATGTTCAAGTGTCAGCAAGAGAGATCTACAGGTGTCAGCAAGAGGGTGAAAGAGATCTACAGGTGTCAGCAAGAGGAGAAGAGATCTACAGGTGTCAGTGAGAGGTGAAGAGATCTACAGGTGTCAGCAAGAGGAGAAGAGATCTACAGGTGTCAGTGAGAGGGTGAAGAGATCTACAGGTGTCAGCAAGAGGAGAAGAGATCTACAGGTGTCAGTGAGAGGGTGAAGAGATCTACAGGTGTCAGCAAGAGGAGAAGAGATCTACAGGTGTCAGTGAGAGGGTGAAGAGATCTACAGGTGTCAGCAAGAGGGGGGAAGATCTACAGGCCAAATTTTGTCCGTCTGTAGAATTTAATAATCAGTTAATAAATTATAGTCATTATGGTCTAACTTTCTAATTACTTTATAATTGGTGTTTAATTAAGTATTGGATAATTTAACACCTTCATAGACTAGAAGCAATTATTGAGGCACTCATTAGGTCATATTACTAGCGAGGTATAGATAACCTTGTTAGTAGATTACAACTAATTAAGTAGCTAATTATTTGACTGCCTAACTGGCTAACTTGCTAATTGACTAACAAATTAATTCACCTACTAATTAACTAACTAATTAACTGGCTAAGTAGCTAACTAACAGATTAATTAACTGGATAACTTACTATTTAACTTCTTATTGCTTAATTAACTGACTAATTACCTGTCTGCCTAACTGGCTAACTAAGTATCTGTCTTTACAGATCAACGAACCAACTTAATAATTGACTAACTATCTAGCTAACCAACTAACTAACCACTTAATCAACAAACTAACCAGCTAACTGATCAACAAACTAACCTGATAATTTCACCACCATACTAACTTGATAATCAACAAACTAAACAGCTAACTAACCTACCAACCAAATAACTAGCTAACTAATCAACTAACGATGTAAGTAACCAACTAACTAACTAACTAACTACCCAACTAATTAACCAGCTAACTAATCAGCCAACTAACTAACTAACCATCTAATGTTCGTAAGCGTACATGCCATACTAACGACCAGCTTTCTCTCAGCAGGTTACAGCAGCCTAGTCGCTTCAGTACCGACGAGGCCGTGTTCTTCCCCGAAGGGTATCTCGACGAGGAAGAGGACGAGGATGAAGGCGTGTTTGATGAACGGCCAACAAGACCCATGTATACCGAGGGCGGCCGTCAGTTCATGCCGGGCGTTGACGATGAGGTGACGAACACTTGGATGATGTTTCCAAACTGTGCAATAATAATAATAATGATAATGATAATGATAATGATAATGATAATAATGATAATAATAGTAATAATAGTAATAAACCCAAAATTCAACTTGTTAGAGGCACTAGTACACACGTTGATATGATCCATGTGACTTTCATTTGTTTTAAAGAATTCTGAGCAGTAGTCACTTACACTGTACACCTACTGTATATTGACACATACACTAATATATGTTATACTGTATAGTTATTCGTAGGTTATGTATTTTATTGAGTTATATGAAGTCTGTATATAAAGATTTTACTGGTGATAAGGTTTTGGTTAATTTATTTTATTGTGTTCAGAATTATTAGTTTATTTTGCTCATCACTGAGTTCACTGTTTTCAGTGGTGATTGTTGTTAATTTAATGTTTTAAGCCGCAGCAATTACTAAAAAAATGCAATCATTATTCACAAGTCTTAATTTCTGCACTAGATAACAACACTTACTGTAGGTCCATCAAAGGTATTCCTTCTTGTGATTTATGTTAATTAATATTTCTGTACAACTCAAAATTCAGAGACGATTTTTCCCCTTTTTACTGCAGAAGGGTTTCATGGATCCCAGAGAGTCCTCGAGCTGGTCTAACATGCCACAAAATCTGCGTGGTGTGCCCGGAGGATTTCGTAACTCACCTGACGATCTACGTAACATGCAAGGGATGTATGACAACCTACAGCGTTCCCCGGTAGACTTCAGGAACCTTCGTGGAGACATGCGGAACGTGCCTAATGATCTGAGAAACTTCCCTGGATTCCTGGGTCAGTATGTTCCTCAGGAGGTCTACATGCCTGACAACATAGGACCTGAGAACACCCATGACCGCCTCCTGATGCAAGATGAACCTCCCTTGGAAGCCAACTTCAGAGATATGACGCGGGACCGACTCTTACTGGAAGATAACTTTCCAAACCAGTTTCCACGTACTTCATCCAAGCTATCGGCACTGCAAGAAGCGTAAGTAGCGCGTGTGTGTGTGTGTGTGTGGGGCAATGAATGTCTTAACGAGAGTATTTTATATATATACCCTATACGTGTTAAACAAAGTGGTGCTTGAAGGAGTCTCTTTCATCATTGAGGTTAACTTGGTATTTAATTTACAGTAATGATGAATAATGTGCTCTAAAAATTCTGTGGGCCCTATTACCCAGATAGTTTGTTAGTGCTGCTGTCATATACATGGTGATCCATTGTCTAGAAGCTATACACACACACACACACACACACACACACACACACACACACACACACACACACACACACACACACACACACACACATACTCATCTCCTGGGATCAAGGCAAGATTCAAACTGCTTGATATAATTATATTTAGCCTCCTTATTTGTTTGTGTTGGACCAGTACCTGTGTCTGGTGGTGGTGAAGTGAGTCCCGCAGCTGCATCATCAACTTCACAGACATTATTGTACACCTTCGCCAGTATACACTATTACCTGTATACACTATTACCTGTATACACTATTACCTGTATATACTATTCTCAGTATACACCCTTACCAGTATATGCTATTACCTTTATACACTATTATCAGTATACACCTCACCAGTATACACCACCAGTATACACCCTCACCAGTATACACACCTCACCAGTATACACCCCTCACCAGTATACACACCTCACCAGTATACACACCTCACCAGTATACACTCACCAGTATACACACTCACCAGTATACACACCTCACCAGTATACACACCTCACCAGTATACACCTCACCAGTATACACACCTCACCAGTATACACACCTCACCAGTATACACACCTCACCAGTACACACCACCAGTATACACACCTCACCAGTATACACACCTCACCAGTATACACCCCTCACCAGTATACACACCTCACCAGTATACACCCTCACCAGTATACACCCCTCACCAGTATACACACCTCACCAGTATACACACCTCACCAGTATACACCCTCACCAGTATACACACCTCACCAGTATACACACCTCACCAGTATACACACCTCACCAGTATACACACCTCACCAGTATACACCTCAATTGATACACACCACCAGTATACACACCTACCAGTATACACACCTCACCAGTATACACACCTCACCAGTATACACACCTCACCAGTATACACACCTCACCAGTACACACCTCACCAGTATACACACCTCACCAGTATACACCCTCACCAGTATACACACCTCACCAGTATACACCCTCACCAGTATACACACCTCCACCAGTATACACACCTCACCAGTATACACACCTCCCACCAGTATACACCCTCACCAGTATACACACCTCACCAGTATACACACCTCACCAGTATACACCTCACCAGTATACACACCTCACCAGTATACACCCTCACCAGTATACACACCTCACCAGTATACACACCTCACCAGTATACACACACCTCACCAGTATACACACCTCACCAGTATACACCTCACCAGTATACACACCTCACCAGTATACACACCTCACCATACACCAGTACACACCTCACCAGTATACACACCTCACCAGTATACACACCTCACCAGTATACACACCTCACCAGTATACACCACCAGTATACACACCTCACCAGTATACACCTCACCAGTATACACACCACCAGTATACACACCTCACCAGTATACACACCTCACCAGTATACACACTCACCAGTATACACCCTCACCAGTATACACCTCACCAGTATACACCCCACCAGTATACACACACACACCTCACCAGTATACACACCTCACCAGTATACACCACCAGTATACACACCTCACCAGTATACACACTCACCAGTATACACCTCACCAGTATACACCCTCACCAGTATACACACCCTCACCAGTATACACACACCTCACCAGTATACACACCTCACCAGTATACACACCTCACCAGTATACACACCTCACCAGTATACACACCTCACCAGTATACACCCTCACCAGTATACACACCTCACCAGTATACACACCTCACCAGTATATACACCTCACCAGTATACACACCTCACCAGTATACACACCTCACCAGTATACACACTCACCAGTATACACCCTCACCAGTATACACACCTCACCAGTATACACACTCACCAGTATACACCTCACCAGTATACACACTCACCAGTATACACCTCACCAGTATACACCCTCACCATACACACCTCACCAGTATACACACACCTCACCAGTATACACCCCTCACCAGTATACACACCTCACCAGTATACACACCTCACCAGTATACACCCCTCACCAGTATACACACCTCACCAGTATACACACACCCTCACCAGTATACACCCCTCACCAGTATACACACCTCACCAGTATACACACCCCCACCAGTATACACACTCACCAGTATACACACCTCACCAGTATACACCCCTCACCAGTATACACACCTCACCAGTATACACCCCACCAGTACACACCTCACCAGTATACACACCTCACCAGTATACACACCTCACCAGTATACACACCTCACCAGTATACACACCTCACCAGTATACACACCTCACCAGTATACACACCTCACCAGTATACACACCTCACCAGTATACACACCTCACCAGTATACACACACCTCACCAGTATACACCCTCACCAGTATACACACCTCACCAGTATACACACCTCACCAGTATACACACCTCACCAGTATACACACCTCACCAGTATACACCCTCACCAGTATACACCCTCACCATTGGGTTAGATAATGTTAGGTTAGTTTGGGGCTCATCAGCTGGGGAGTCTCGTCTTAGGGTGATCCCTTAATTGTGCAAAAAACAAAATCTTTAACAGTTTATGAGTAATGATAGATGAGACTTTGATATTTGTCTTGTTTATGTATACAAACTGTGAACATACAATATAAGTATACATTGTACATAGACAAGTCCAGGTATACAAACATTGTACACCCACCAAGAAAAGTCCTGCCAGCCCTCTCTCTCATCCATGAACCTTGTGAATCCGAAACAACACACACAGTTTCGGATTCACAGGGACGTATTCAGAGGGTTCATGGATGGGAGAGACAACTGACAAGACTTTTTTTTTTTTTTTTGGTAGGTTTACATAAACAGTGCAGGTATACAAACATTGTACAGTCGGCCAAAGTTCCACCGACCTCACTCTGTCTATCGTACTCACAATTTTACCTGGCAATACTTTTAAGTAAGGTTGTATGTAATGGGGACTGTGATTGGTGGTTCTACTTTAGGCTGTATCACTGTCAGGATAAATAGTAAACAATCCAAACGTAGCATTTTTTTTTAACAATAAACTGTTCATCGTTACTTAAGATCTTCAAAAGTTTCCAGATGTCCCTTCTCTGTAACAGGTTCGGGCCACAGGTAAAATCATGTTCTTCCCTGAAGTTCGGGCCAGGTAGAACTGTTCTCCCCGTGACAGGTTCGGGCCACAGGTAAAATCATGTTACTTCTCCGTGACAGGTTCGGGCCACAGGTAGAATCATGTTCCTTCTCCGTGACAGGTTCGGGCCACAGGTAAAATCATGTTACTTCTCCGTGACAGGTTCGGGCCACAGCTGAGCAACCTGAGGGACTACGATGACTTCCAGGAGTACTCAGAGAACGGCTTCTTGGATGACTACGATGACTATGACATGTACGTGGATGGCCGACTGAGATCTGGCCAGTCCAGCACACCCAAGTTTGTCAAGAAGGATGAAGAATCAGCGAGTAAGTTTGTGTCTGTTGTGGATCTTTTGATGTGTGTCTGTTTAACCTAACCTAAGCTAACCTAACTTAAACCAGACTGCTACTAATCCCACTTTTTTAACACAACCATTTATATACAGACTTAAACTTGATCCGTAGAATTAAGATGTGATCAGTGATGTTCTTTTGTTTCTCAAAGGATGGTGGAGGATTGGGTGGTGGTAGGGAGGGAAGGAGGAAGGAAGGAAGACTAGGGAAGGAAAGAGGGACGACAGGGAAGGAGAGAACGAAGCCAGGGAGGAAGGGAGAGAGGCAGGGCAGGAAGGGAACGAGACCTGGAAGGGGGACCAAGGAGGGTGGTAGGGAGACCAGGGAGAGAGGGAGGGAGGTAGCCCAGAGAGGGAGGCGGGAGAGGTAGGGAGGGAGGCCAAAGAGGGAGGAGGAGACCAAAGAGATTGGAAGGGAGGCCAAAGAGGGAGGGAGGGAGGAGGCCAAAAAGGAGGAAGGGGGCCAGAGAGAAAGGAAGATCATAAAATGGGGAGAGAGGCCAGAGAGAGTGGGGGGGCAGAGAGGTAGGAGGGGAGGCCAGGGATAGGAGGAAGGGAGTTCAGAAAGGAATGAGAAAGAGGGGAGGGAGGGCGGGAGGAGAGAGGGAGAGGGGGGGGGAGGTGAGGGAGGGAGAGGGGGAGGGAGGAGATGGGGAGGGAGGGAGGGAGAGGGGAGGGAGGGAGGAGAGGGGGAGGAGGAGAGAGAGGAGAGGGGGAGGGGAGGAGGGAGAGGGGAGGGAGGGGAGGGGGAGGGAGGGAGATGGGAGGAGATAGAGGGGAGAGGGAGGAGGGAGAAGGGAGGAGAGGGGGAGGGAGAGAGAAGGAGAGGGGAGGAGACCACCTTAGTGTGCAGTATTTCACTCCTGTAGATCTCCCAGTTAGTGAGGAGCTTACCGTCTTCAGCTCCTCCTCCTCCTATCCTCCTCTTCTCCCTTCTTCCATCCCCTTCTTCCTCTTTCTGCTTCTTCCATCATCCTCCTCCCTCCTTCCCATCTTATTTAACTAAAAAATGCTATATATCCTTTGTCTTGTGTTGTGAGGGTGTTGGTGTGTTGTGAGGGTGTTGTGTGTTGTGAGGGTGTTGGTGTGTTGTGAGGGTGTTGTTGTGTTGTGAGGGTGTTGGTGTGTTGTGAGGGTGTTGGTGTGTTAGCAGGGGTTGTTGTGTTGTGAGGTGTTGTGTGTTGTGAGGGTGTTGTTGTGTTGTGAGGGTGTTGGTTGTGTTGTGAGGGTGTTGTTGTGTTGTGAGGTGTTGGTGTGCTGCACATATGTCTGTCACCAGTGTGGGCCTGCGCGTGCGTGCGTGTGTGTGCCTCCACCTAGATGACATTCTGGTGGTGGTAAATTGAACTACATCACACACACACACACACATACGACCGTCACCTGGGTCTTATATAGCTGGTGGTGGTGGTCATGACACTAACAGGAACATAATAACCAATATACAATTCACCGAGTATCTTTAAATACCTATTATATATATATTTCATTTTTTATTAACTCTTGGAAGATTTTACTCTCTTCCTCCCTTTCTTCCCCCAGGACGTTATGTGAAAGGGACCCAGTCATTGTTATTGATATCTCTCTTAGCTGCTCTGACAGATGTGACCCGTTAGAGACTTTGATACTGTTTAGATTTTATCCTGTTTCTGTAATGTATAGTTAATAGTAATTAGCTAAAGGTAATAACAGATGCGTTACTTACCTGTTTATTAGTATTATTATTATTCGTAATCTTAGACGGAAGCTTCAGGCCAGTGTGTCCAGGTGTTTGTTGGTCAACGGTGATAATAATTAATCAGTAGCGAGTCGTGCGGCCTAGTGACGTCATTACTTATACTTATCCTCAGGGCTAGTGACGTAATGACTTATACTTATCCTCAGGCCTAGTGACGTCATGACTTATACTTATCCTCAGGGCTAGTGATGTCAGAAATTATACTCAGCACATACAGTATACTCAGGGCAAGTGGCTTAAAACTTATACTCAGGGCTAATGACGTCACAACTTATACCTATACTCAGGGCTAGTGACGTCACAACTTATACCTATACTCAGGGCTAGTGACGTCACAATTTATACCTATATCGGTACATATACTTAGGATGCTGTTCCCCCCCACCCCTACGGTCTTTACTTCAGTGTACAAAAACTTAATTAAACTCACTCTGGGAAACTCTGGCCGTGAATATGACTCAGTGAGGTGGAAATGGACTCTTACTGGATGTGGTGTGAAGATACATTACAGTAAGATCTTGGAAGACAATTTTCTGTCTTTCTTTATCAGGAGTTTGGGAACTTTTTTTTTCTATGTGTTGTGGCGAGAGGTGAAGAACTTGACTGATACGCCTTTACTGATAATGTTGTTTTATCTTCCAGTCTCATATCGCAGTCAGTCAGTCAGTCAGTTAGTTAGTTTGATATCACCATTTAACACCATAATGATTTATTAACACTAATGAAGATAAATGAAGAGTTGAGAATTTTATAACTATTGCCCTCCACCCACCCCCTGTAACCTGACGTCACCATTACCACTCAATCAGACCATCAAGATATAAGAACACTAATTACTATCTACGACTCATTACTGCCATCATCACCTACTTAACTTTAATCTATACATCAATATTCGTCTAAAGTTATAATCGTTGTGGCATTATGAGAATGTTAAAAAAAAAATGTCCGAATGATGAAGACATGTGACGAATCATTGGCCTTAGTTGCATATAGGTCATTAGGGTCATATGAGGATGATACTCGGCCATTACGGGTGTTTGTGATCATTAAGACCCAGGTGAGGGATTTACCTGAGTCGTCCACGCGTTAACACCCTCTGAGGCCGCGTCATTAGTGAGCTCGTGGACATAGGTGGGTAGTTTAGGACTCCTCTCACTAATCATTGACTGGATGGTTTAGGGCAGTTCAGGGCTTTCAGGGTCACTAGTTGTAAGCTTCAGGTTAGTTCAGGGATCAGAGTTCACAGGTCACAGGTATCAGGGTTCAGGTCTGGTGGACTTTCCTCCTCCACATACCTCTGTCGACCCACCTCTCAGGCCTTACTCACTCTCAGGCCTTACTCACTCTCAGGCCTTACTCACTCTCAGGCCTTACTCACTCACCATTGCTCACTTTCAGTCTCTCTCACTCACTCACTCTTTCGCTCACTCATTTTCACCCTCACTCACTCACTCACTCTCACCCTTACTCTGTTATCACTCACTCACTCATTTATTCTCTCTCGCCCTTATTCTGTCAATTCTCCTCACTCACTCACTCACTCACTCACTCACTCACTCACTCTCCCCCCTGCAGATGTGGACTACGACCTGCTATCAAATATGGGTTACAACTTCCAGCGGCCAATGCGTGTGGATGTCAAGAAACCTGGACCCAATTTCAACAGCAACAACAACTTCGCCTTCGAGTACACTGACGAGGACGACCGTGCTGACGAAGTACGTGGTGGTGACGATGATCTGTTGAGGAGAGAGAGAGAGAGAGAGAGAGAGTTAGAGAGAGAGTTGAAGTGGTTGGTGGTAGCTGTGATGTGTATGTGTGTGTGTGTGAGAAGAGGTGAGGGGAGGAGATAGAGGGAGGGAAGAAAGGGAGAAGAGACAGGGAGGAGAAGGGGAAGAGAGAAGAAGATGGAGAGGGAGAAAATGGGAGGAAGAGGAAGAGAGAGAAAAGAGAGAGAGAGTGTGTGTGTGTGTGTGTGTGTGTGTGTGTGTGTGTGTGTGTGTGTGTGTGAATTTTCAGGAGCAATTTAACTAATCTGCGTCTCACGTCCCTTATGCAGATGGTGGATGATGACGTAGCCACTTTGGATGGTTTCGGCTTAGGTCGTGCCGGAGACGGTATGTTATTCGCTCGACTAGTGCAGGAGATGCGAGCAGCCCCGTCCAGAGGAAGTAGATCTGACGAGGTAAACGACGAGAATGACGAAGAAGTTGAAGAATCGATGATACCCATCGGTACCATGTTTGACAAGTCTGTTCCCGGTGAGTACTGTCTTGCTTCATTGTCTCTTTATCCACGGGGGTCTTTGTATCCACGGGGGTCTTTGTATCCACGGTGGTCTTAGTATCCACAGGGTCTTTGTATCCACGGGGGTCTTAGTATCCACGGGGGTCTTTGTATCCACGGGGTCTTGTATCCACGGGGTCTTAGTAACCACGGGGTATACACGGGGGGTCTTTGTATCCACGGGGGTCTTTGTATCCACGGGGGGTCTTAGTAACACGGGGGTCTTTGTATCCACGGGGGTCTTAGTAACCACGGAGGATCGTAGTCTCCACAGGATCTTAGTATTCACGTAAGCCTTTATCCTTGTAGTCCATTATTCATGATCAGTGCAACTTTCACTTTTTTGAGGCTACGAATGTGACTCCAGTAGTTGACAAGCTGAGGTGTTCCTCCATTGGCTGCTTACCTTAAGGGACGTACAGCAATAACAATAAGATAAACAAATAAAGGACCACAACATGAAACAAGGATAAGATAAACGATAACAACAAACAAAACTAAGACCAACACAAATGAAGACGAGTAATAATAAGTAAATAATAATAATAATAATAATAATAATAATAATAATAATAATAATAATAATAATAATAATAATAATAATAATAATAATAATAATAATAATAATAATAATAATGATAATAATAATAATAATAATAAATCAATAATGAATAATAATAAAGTCCAAGGCCAAGAAAGTTACGAATTTGATCTAACTAAAAGCAAACCAAAAGCCCTTGTACAGATTTTAGTACGACAGTTTACACCAGCACGTGTGTCATAGCAACGGGTTCATTATCTCGAGGCAAGGAACAGCAAGGCAGTAGTAGGTGAGGTGTTATTCTTAAGCCCTTCTACCTGACCTAACTACCACCTACTGGCATATAAAATACAAAGAGTGTTTTTGCTGTTGTTGTTGTTACCCTGATGCTGTTAAGACGATATATATGCTATAGAAAGAAATATTACCTGGGGTGGGGTTAGGTTAGGTTAGCTTTAGGTTAGGTTAAGTTGTTAGGTTTGGTTAGTTAAGGTTGTGTTAGGTTAGGCTGTGTTAGGTTAAGTTGTGTTAGGTTAAGCTGTGTTAGGTTAATTTGTCTTAGGTTAAGTTGTCTTAGATTAAGTTGTGTTAGGTTAGCGTCAAGGTGTTAAATAATCGGGTGAAATAAGTTGGAGTGCCTAATCTTCACGTGGTGTTGACGCTGTATCACGCCAGTAGTGACAGAGGCACCTTAAGAGAATAACTAAGCCCCCCTAAACCTGACTCCCAAAGACCAGTGTATTATCGAGTTATAGTCGAGTCTCGGTGATAAATGGACTACGTTTTGTGCTCTATCTTTGTGTCGAGAGGATGAATCCACAAGTTAGAGGAGATGTCACGTATTTATTTTCAAGGATTTAATCTATGAGCCTCTTAGAATCCGTAGACGTTTCATTGCTTAGGTAAGATTGTGAGGTGTATTCCTACGCCATCAGTTGGGGGGAAAAGATTCAATGTTTGTGTCATAGTTTATGCAATCGAATCGGGGGTATTTTTTTTTTCAATCGATCCTTAGCTTAAGTGAACCGGTTAGATACGTACGTTTTTGAGATTCCCATTTTATTTGGATGGATGAGTTAGCCAGTTGGATGCATTCTCACACCACCAGCTGAGCGAAAAGTAATTGTATGAAATTTTTGGTGTCGTAGCTTAGGTAAATCGGTAATATATTGTTGTTATTTGTTTATTTTTCTCCCTTTTTACATACCCAGTTGGGGGAAAATTTCAAGGTAGGAGCGTGTGAGCCTGGTGGTGTGGAGGTCCCCAGGCATATCGTCCACCACTGGCCAGCCGTGTGGGCGACACTCGTCAAAGTTTCCTGATAACTTTGTCGTTTACAGACGCACGGACAAAGGACAAGATTTTTGAGGAAATACTGAAGCGATTCGTAGGTGAAGTGAAGTGAAGTGAACCGCGAGCTGTACAAACTTTAGGGCAGTAAGGAGCCACTCTGCCTGTCCTAACTTCACCTCGCTGGCAAACTCAGTCCTCTTGTCTAATAAACCACATTTGAATTTCTCTCCCATAAATGACCACAAGAGATTGATTCTAGTTACGGTAGAGTTTCAATACAGTTTTGTTGCCATTTTAGTGTGAAAATAGGCCTTGGTTCTCAGAGATTCTTACTTCACTTTAGCTCCCCCTCCCCCCTCAAAAAAAAAAGATAGATAAAAGACCGTTTCAAATTCTGGTAATAACTTAGGCTAATTTTGATGTCTCTTTACTGAGAAAAAATATGTCTGGATGCTCAAGATCTTCACTTAAATAAGGGGTCTTTAAATTAAGGTAAAACGCTTCTTCTCGATATAATCTCTGGATTTCGACTCAAGAGATTCAGACTTTGATTTTTCCCTTAATTATAGATGCTGTGAACACGTCACACCGCCTCACTTAAACCACGATACAGAGATGTCCGTCAAATGATCACTGACTTAACACATACAATACCATAATTTGGAAGAAATTAACGTAGAAACTTTTCAACGTCCTTTTGGATAAGCCTAGATGTCCTTCAATAGTGGTAGGTGGGAGGGAGTGAAGCCCCACCTCCATCTAGCTGTTGCTGTGAAGGTTTATCACTGCTGTTCGCTGGGAACTTCGTCACCTGGTGCCCACTTGCCGTGCCTCACACACCCTAATTGGAAAAGTTCTCTATAATACCTAATTGTAGACGGCAGTCCGGAGTCAATAAGGTGCTAAACCCGCGGAGATCGCACAGTGAGGGGGTCCAATAAAGTGCTAAACATGCGGTAGTCTGTGCGTGCGTGCGTGCGTGCGTATAAGCAATATAAAATAGAATACAATTTCATAATTTACATAGATAAGCCTAAAGATATGAGATGCCGAACAGGGTAGGTACTGATATACTGTGTACTTTACTTCCCTGAGGCCTGACACCCCCTTACGTCTACTAGTGGCATCAACCACGACCCTAAACTTAAGTGATGAAAGAGATGCAAGACGCCTCACCCCTGAATCTCTGCTGGGTGAACCTTAAGTGCCACCGCAGCCCACTCCTGCACCTATGTCTACACCAGTGGCATCATTCTAGTGCCTGGTGCCTTATTGTTAAGACTGACAATATATCATACAGGTTCATACATCATACAGGATCATACACCATACAGGTTCATACATCATACAGGTTCATACATCATACAGGTCCATGCATCATACAGGTTCATACATCATACAGGTCCATGCATCATACAGGTTCATACATCATACAGGTTCATACATCATACAGGTCCATGCATCATACAGGTTCATACATCATACAGGTTCATACACCATACAGGTTCATACATCATACAGGATCATACACCATACAGGTTCATACATCATACAGGATCATACACCATACAGGTCCATGCATCATACAGGTTCATACATCATACAGGTTCATACATCATACAGGTCAATATATCATACAGATTCATACATTATACAGGTTCATACATTATACAGGTTCATGCATCATACAGGTCAATATATCATACAGATTCATACATTATACAGGTCAATATATCATACAGATTCATACATCATACAGGTTCATACATCATACAGGTCAATATATCATACAGATTCATACATTATACAGGTTCATACATTATACAGGTTCATACATCATACAGGTTCATACATCATACAGGTCAATATATCATACAGATTCATACATTATACAGGTTCATACATCATACAGGTTCATACATCATACAGGTCAATATATCATACAGATTCTTACATTATACAACATAAAGAGCCAAACATCACACAGGTCCTCATATAACATCACGCGCTCATAAACCATACAAATCCTCCTACACCATACACACTCTTACATGACACAAGCTCGTGCATCATACATAACACGGGCTCAGACATCATACATGACACAATCTTATACATCATACATGACCCAAGTTCCTACTTTATACATGACCCAAGCTCATACATCATACACCCACACATACACCATACACCGACTCATACCATCATTAACTCGAACAGATATACAGTATATGAGTGATATAGGTTGGGTGTGTAAACTGGGCTGCCTTGTGTAAGCCAATCGACTCGCTGCAGTCTCCTCCACTCTAATGCTTTTATGACACAGGCGCATAATGATGTCATACACCCACTTATACATTACGCAAGTTCATATATCATACAACCCCCCCCCCCATACATGATACGAGAACATACATTATACATGACAACGAGTTCATACATGACACGAGTTCATACATTACGCAAGTAGTTCATACATCATACAGCCGCCACTCATACATGACACGAACGCATACATCATACAGCCACTCATACATCATACAACCACTCACACATGAGACGAGAACATACATCATACAGTCATTCATACATCATACAGCCCCTCATACATGAGACGAGAACATACATCATACAGTCATTCATACATCATACAGCCACTCATACATGACACAAGCGCATACATCATACAGCCATTCATACATGACAGGAGCACATACATCATACAGCCACTCATACATCATACAGCTACCCATACATGACACAGACTCAGACAGCAGAGAGTATGGTCAGAGCGCCGCTGGCCAGAACTCACCTGAGAGGCCACACTACACTAGGTGCTCTCGTTAGGGTCGTTCGGGTGTGTGCTGCCGCCCGGAAGAATCGGGATAACTTTTATAAGCAGATTACGTACAGCGCTTTGCAAAACATATCAATGGACGCTCACGTAAGGCCCAGGTTCCCGTGGTGTCCATAGCTAGCACGACCCTTACCGCGGCACGCAAATGGAAGAGTCAGGAGAGGGAATTCCCCGCCCGTAGACAGGTACAGCTTATTCCCTGCCACTCCATCCCCCCTCCCCCCCCCCTCCACCTCTCTCCCCTCCACTTATGGTCACTCGTGTCACCTGTGTCAGTCTGGGATTTTGCAGAGACTCGTCAAGTTTGAGGAGGGAGATGGCCTCCAACTAATGGTTCACTTACGTAATGCCACAAAGGGTTCTTACTGATTTTTCCCCTTAAGTGAACATTGTGAGAACGTGTCTATCCAATTGGTTCACTTAAACTACGGTACAAAGGCCTCTCCAAGTTTTGAAATGTTAAAAATTTTCTTTGTAACTGAAGACTTGAGAACGTATCCAAACTACTTCACTCAAGATGCGACACAAAGATAGATTCTCCAAGGTTCGTTATGGTAAATTTCTCTCATACGTAAAGAGGTAAGAGGAAATTCTAGAA